TAGGTGGGGGGAGTGAATGTACAGCGCTCTCTTCCACCTTCAATACCACGACTGAGGTGCCCTTGAGCAAGGCACCGAATCCCCAACTGCTCCCCGGGTGCCGCAGCATAGATGGCTGTGTTCACGTGTGTGTGCACTTTGGATGGGTTAAATGCAGAGCACTAATTCTGAGTATGGGTCACCATACTTGGCCACATGTCACTTCACTTCACTTCACTATCTTGTCAGGCATATTTACAACAAAAATCAATTTATGACGTATTAAAAAACCAATTACTTTCACCCCAAATACTAATTAGTTGTTATTTTACATTTTTTAAATTTGCCACTATCCTAGGTTTCGCCCATTTGTCAGTAAGATTTTTTTACTCATTTAAAACCCAATAAAATTTTATATGCTCACTTATTCTTTTATATATTTTAATATATACAGGTCAGAATAAGCATGCTGTTTGAATTTTATATAACTACAGTGGGGCAAAAAAGTATTTAGTCAGCCACCAATTGTGCAAGTTCTCCCACTTAAAAAGATGCGAGAGGCCTGTAATTTTCATCATAGGTATACCTCAACTATGAGAGATCTGGATTTTTTTTTCTCATTTTGTCTCTCATAGTTGAGGTATACCTATGATGAAAATTACAGGCCTCTCTCATCTTTTTAAGTGGGAGAACTTGCACAATTGGTGGCTGACTAAATACTTTTTTTCCCCACTGTATAAGTGTTACACTGAATGACAATGGAACATTATTTGTATTGTATATATACATACATAGTTTTTTTCTTTTTTTCTTCAAAATATTTTTTATATTCAGCAGATTTCTGCATATACTCTCCAACAGTCCCACAAAAACATCAAAAAGTCAGCAGATTTCATGTAGGTCTAGCTATACATTGCCCATGTAAACTCATTTGCAAAACACCTGCCTCCACAGGAAAAAAAAAAAAGACATCACAGATTATTTCATTCCCATACTGAACCGCCCCATAAAACCCTTGATAAATCTCAGTCTGTGTTGAATACGGATGAATAAGTTGGAGTTGAAATGAGGTATGGTGAGGTTTGCATTCACAAAAACCTTCGGGCGCTGGGGAATACGTCACATCTAGCAGGAACGCTGCCAGAATTCACCTGCTGCTTGTGTGGAGAGACTTTGATGTGTAAAGCACTTTGACTGCTGGGCTGTAATTACCTCGCCCTCAGGGCCTGTATCTGATGCTTTCTCGCATGTTACACTTTTTTAAATTCACTCTTGCCTATTCTCTATAAAGCTTGCTTTCTTATTTGGTTTTCTTACCGTAACGTCTTGAACTTGGGGCCGTAGCGTAGGCCCTGCTGGTTGTGGCCGGTTAGCGATTTCCAATATGGTCCGCAGTAACACACCCAAAACACTCTCCACGATCAGATCCACCTCTTCAGATGCGGCTGGCTCCTGCACACACACACACACACACACACACACACGTTTTGACAAACGTGTTTCATACTCTTGGGAATGGCAGATATTTGACAAATAAATAAGCTAAATACTCTTTTACAGCACAAAACTTTCATAACAAATGGAGACCTATGGATTATGCATAAACGGAAGATTGCTGAAAGCAGGAAATTTAAAGTATGACAGACTTGAAAAGCTGTGTTGAAGGCAAAGGATTTGAATAAAAGCAATGCATTTAGAGTGATAATTTTAAAGACCCAACTTCTCAGAGTGTTTTTTTTAACTTTTATTATGCTACGAGTGTGCTATAACCATCTTCTTTAACTGCCCTTAAATATATGACTTAATGAGGAAAAAATCTTTCAGCAAATCAAAACATACATACATACATATACATATTTTTTTTTCAGTGGTGGATATGGTCTTCCATAATACTTGCCTGCTAGTTATTTGTACTGAAAACATTTTATTTTAATTTGGAATTTGCATTATTTTGCATTGGCAACAAGCCTCCATAAACTTTCATGACTGCGTTTGCCAGATGTCAACAGTTTAGATCCCCCAAAATCAGAGATTTTCATTTAAATTGATATATTTTCTGGTCAGTGATTTACATAATGCTCCCAACCTGGCAACCACACACTCTCTATGTAACAGAAAAAGAGCTGATGAGCTGAAAATGCCAGCAAACATGTACGTTGGAGTTTAGCAATCTCTTTTGAGAGTGCTAATGGCAAAAAGGGTGAGACAGCCATGAAAGGTTCAGCTGTCATTTCAGTTTATGCAAGTGCAGGAAAAAACCAGTGCGTCTGATGCACATCGTTCCTTCTCTGTGCGTGAGACCCGCCATTTGACTTGAAGGTCAGAGAGGATGTCTACATTTATAGCAGCCTCAGCATTTTCAAGACAAGTTTCCTGTGGTCTTCTTCAAAGCAGAAGTTAACACGAATAGGGGATGTGCAAAAACACTAATTCAACAAAGCTTCTGGGTTGCATGAATGATAAGTAGGTCTTCAGGGAGCCTTGCATAATTATGCGGATTTAAGGCCACGTTTTGACAAACGTGTTTCATACTCTTGGGAATGGCAGATATTTGACAAATAAATAAGCTAAATACTCTTTTACAGCACAAAACTTTCATAACAAATGGAGACCTATGGATTATGCATAAACGGAAGATTGCTGAAAGCAGGAAATTGAAAGTATGACAGACTTGAAAAGCTGTGTTGAAGGCAAAGGATTTGAATAAAAGCAATGCATTTAGAGTGATAATTTTAAAGACCCAACTTCTCAGAGTGTTTTTTTTTACTTTTATTATGCTACGAGTGTGCTATAACCATCTTCTTTAACTGCCCTTAAATATATGACTTAATGAGGAAAAAATCTTTCAGCAAATCAAAACATACATACATACATTTACATATTTTTTTTTCAGTGGTGGATATGGTCTTCCATAATACTTGCCTGCTAGTTATTTGTACTGAAAACATTTTATTTTAATTTGGAATTTGCATTATTTTGCATTGGCAACAAGCCTCCATAAACTTTCATGACTGCGTTTGCCAGATGTCAACAGTTTAGATCCCCCAAAATCAGAGATTTTCATTTAAATTGATATATTTTCTGGTCAGTGATTTACATAATGCTCCCAACCTGGCAACCACACACTCTCTATGTAACAGAAAAAGCGCTGATGAGCTGAAAATGCCAGCAAACATGTACGTTGGAGTTTAGCAATCTCTTTTGAGATTGGCTCTGTTTGCTTAGACCAAGTCTGCTTGTTGTCCAAAGTGTTGTCCTATAGTTGTGTGAGGGTTATCTTACCTTGTCGTCTTTCTTGAGGAGAGACAGCATGCAGGTGAGTATGTGAGCGCACATGACGAGATCTCGCTGCTCCTGCATGTGAGCCTGGAGCAAACGCAGCACCACCGGGAGCAGGATACATCTAGACTCTGATAAAAACACACACAAACATTGAGCAGACTGTCTCTAACATCTTCATCTTCAGTGAGCATGTGTTTACCAGGGTTTGTGTAGAGCTGGCTCTCTACGGTTTTGGCGATGCAGTGCAGTTTGACGGCCTCCAGGGGGCAGTCGGCTTGGGACACGGTGGGGAGGCTGCCCAAGGTCTCCCGTACAAACGTGGCCACTTCCCTGACCGTAAAGAGCTTCAGCAACTCCCCGTACACAGCCGGGAACGACTGCAGAAACACTGCCTGTGGAGTCAGGTGACAAACAATCAAGTCAAGAAACAATCTCATTCACACTGATTACATGGAAAAATAAACAAAGTAAGTAAAAAATAAATAAAACAGTAATTTTAATGCACACTACATTACGAAACAACCTCAAAACTACCAGCGAGAAAAAAATAAATGCAATTAAATAATGGTGACAATAATGTGCAAAATGCAAAAAATATAATTATTTCAATTAACAATGTAAGTTTGCAGATAAACATAACATTGTCATGAAACTGTTACTATACAGTTTATATATCTCTTGCAGAATATGCAAGATGTTAATCATTTTAACAAATAAAAGCTGCTATTTTTTATTTAGTACCATCATGAATGATAACTATGCAACTTTTTGAATTAGTTGATCACACTAAATTGCACTTCTTTTGTCTTAATTGATGTTCTGCTCTCTATGAAGATTAAAATGTTCAAACAGCACTCAGCCCAACACAGGGCTAATAAATCATCTGAGGTGAATATACATCTACAGATATACCGCACAACTATAACCTATTGGGATGTACTAACTCTATTCATGCTTGAGACAATCCAACTTGAAGTGTTAAATGACACTAGTCTCAGTCTCAGACCACCGTCTGTCCACTGACCACCTAAAGCATACTGCACACTAATGGCTAAAATTCAGTTGAAGTTGTGTTTACAAGGTATCACAATTGTTCAATAAGCACTTCTGAAGAAAATCCATCTCTAGATCTGCCAAACCTTGTGTGATTAGTGATATAAAACTCTAAAATAAATACTAATATATATTTAGTCTAAATTAGCATAAGTATACGGAAATGTTAGAAAGTATCTAGTAGAACGTAGATATTTATGAGCAGAACTGTAAATTACATGCTGGTTTTTGGTTACGTGTGTGAAAAATTCAGCACTTATTATTTTTAGAAGAATAAAACTTCTGCTCATACATATTAACACCAATTTATTTGGTGGTTGCGGACTGACACTTCTGTTTATTTTTGTAACAGCAACTATTTCAGATAAAACCACCCCTAAATTGTGTGTACAAATGAAATAATTTTTTTTTACATCTGTCAAATAAACTCTTAAATAATCTCAGAAATGTTAATAAAATAATATAAAATACAATTGTAAAATACAATTAGAGTTTTTTAATAAAAGTAAAAATATATTTTTTAAAATTTTAAAGTCTGTTTGTGATATTTAATAAGTGGTGATTTTTCCCAAGTGTTGAACCAAACTCTAAAACATAAATGAAATGTGATTGTCTGTTTTTCTCACTTCCCTATTATCTCAAGTCTTCCCTAGAGCTTCTTGTAATCTTGTTGCGCCATCATTATCTCTCTTTTTTCATCTTCATTCTTTTCATCCTTTTCCTTCGTGTTCATTTACAATGTTTCTTTCTCTCATTAAAACCCAAAGCAATTCCTTCTTTGGAAGTATTCGTCTTTCTCTTTCAAATGGGGCACATGGGCACTCCGAGACTCTTTGTAGAACACGGCGGAACATCAAAACAAACTCACACCAAGGTTTGAACAAAAGCCAATGCGATGGGCACCCGAGCGAAGGAGAATAGAAGAAGCTCTTGCATTCAGCTCAGGGAAGTCGGAAAGATTTGCGGGAGACTTCAAATGCTTTGCCTGAATTTTAGGGAGTGCACTGAAAACTGCCTTTGTATGTCATTCTCTACATAAAACATAAATGATCCTATCTCTCAAGGGTAAAATGTCAGTCAAAATTAAGGACATTTCTCTGGCAAATAAATGCTTAATACAGCAGATTTGCCTCGGCAGACGTCCCATGGTTTCAGAGGATACTTCAGGCCTGAGACTAAAATCATTGTCTCTATTAATCAGAATAATGCTCCATAAGGTCAATTCATCTTTAGTTTATATACTGTTTATATAATAAACTTTAAAAGTAATAATAAGAATAATAATTGTAAACAGAAATAATAAAATAATATAAAAAACTGTCACCAGATAACAACAATTACATGACTTATAAAGTTTATTATAAAATATACAATAACAAAATCATAATAATAATAATTATTAAAATATTTTTATAATATTAATAACAACAATTACAACAACAATAATTTATTATTATTATTATTATTATTATTGGGTTAACAACATCATAGCCAAGAATTGTAAACCAGAAATAATTTTTAAAAACTCTGTATCAACAGTAGATTTTAATTGTATTTATATTTAAATAATTTTTTTTAAAATTTTTATTGTATTTATTTTATTAAATTATTTGTTATTAATTTAAATAATTATATAATAAAATAATTGTATTCAATTAATTTGTATTTAAAACTAGTGGTGGAAGAAAAGAAAGAGGAATGTTGCATGCTAAACTCACTCAACCTTTTTCACCCACTAGAGATGCTCATTCCATGTGTTAACTATACAATATAAGGAGTTTTCCAACATAAACAGATCTGTGTGTCTCTCACCTGTGTCTGTGTGATGGGCCGTGAGCCCTTGTTCTCCTGCGAGAGGAAGAAGCGGAGGGACATGAAAAGCTCGTGCATACAGCAGCGGAACTCCTCCTCGTTCTGTCCGCCCGTGGCCAGCGCAAACAGCCGTCGTGACTGGATAATATACTTAAAAATATACTCCGTCGCCTAGGAAACCAACAGAATAGCAGATCTGAGCACAGAAAGCAACATAAAAGCTGCCTAATTAAAAATGCATGGGCTGTGTGAACTAATGCAATGTCGAAGTCATAACGGCCCGCAGCGAACCATTCCTAAGAAATTTAATATTCAGTACATTACACATATAAATTGTATTTGTATTTGTGGCTGTAGAAAATCAGAAGATGGAGGACAGTAATGACAGACTCTAAATATCATTGTGAAGGGCAGAATGTGTAAAAATGATTTGTGAGAGCGAGAAAATACGTGTAGTGTGAAGCATCTCACCTTCAGCACCTGTTGGATATGTTCCTGACGATCCGCTTCAATAATACGGTCCACATACCACTTCAGCACCTTGATCAGATCCCTGCCAGAGAGACAAACAAACAACACTGCGGAAAACTGAACATCGACATTATGTTTGTTTAGTAGAACTGAACGTATTTATAGGAAGATTCATAATGGAAATCAATCTGACATGTGTCTGAATTGCATTTATTGCATTAAAAATTCGTTTGTAGAGTACTGATCCCATAATTTAGTAGTAGTAGTAATAATAATAATAATAATAATAATAATAATAGCAAATTAACAGTATGTTTGTTCTGAGCCCACAATGTAGTAAATAAATAAATGATGATGACTGAATATTGGCAAATCAACGATATATTTGCAGGGTACTGAACCCACAAACAATAAATAAATAAATAAATAGATGACCAAATATTGGCAAATTAATATGTTTGTAGTGTACTGAACCCACAATTTATAAATACTTTTTTTTCTGAATTGCATTTATTGCAAAATTGGCAAAACAGTATATTTGTAGTATATTACTTGTATTACTCCTGTAGTGCTAGGTCTATAACTGGATAACTGGATGTTCCCTTCCGAGGGAACTTCGAACTGCGTCCTCTAGAGGTCACTATGGGGAATGCCTTCAGTGTGACCGGTGTCTGAAGCATACATCTAAATACGACAATAGCATTGGCCGGCGACAGCCTATGACATCATTACCCAGCGTGATCACAGTATAAAAGGGCGCCGGGAGAACACGTCATCCTCTTCTTCGTCTTCACTGACCGTTTGTTTATGTTAGCGATAAGCTAAGCACGACTAGGAGTGCATGTTCTCTTGCCAGAGGCTTTGCTCTGATACCCGCAGTTTCACAACGGCTCACGTGTTGTGTGTGTGTGGTGAAGTGCATGCGCGTTCAGCTCTCGAGGGAGTTGAATGTGCTCTGCATTCACAGCTTCTTTCTTGTGAGGGATAAGCATGAATTGAACGCGGCTTGGACCATTAGGGCATTCGCAGGACTACTGAGGAGAAGGTGAGTACTTCACCATTTACCAGAGTTTGTTTAGCGTTTGCATGAGTGCGTTCGCCAGCGGTTTCCGTTCTCGCTTGATTTCCGAGGTAATCTAGCGCGTGGGTGAAGTGTGTTTAGCTCCCGCGGGAGCTGAATGCATGCTGTGTGTTGCTGTTGCGGTGAGAATTGTCTGGCCATTGCCCGTGATTCGCGTCACCCGTCAGTACTGGATCCAGACTGCATGATTGCCCTGCATCTTCAGCTTCATGCTTACTGGACCACGCAGCCAAGTCGCTGGGCCTCTGCGAGAGCCTCCTTAGCCGATCAGGTCCGCAGTATAACGCTGCCATTCAGGTTGAGCATTTTTCGGAGTATAATGCTTCGTGATGTGCTCCCTGATGTCCTGGCTGGGTAAACTGAACATCGACATTATGTTTGTTTAGTAGAACTGAACGTATTTATAGGAAGATTCATAATGGAAATCAATCTGACATGTGTCTGAATTGCATTTATTGCATTAAAAATTCGTTTGTAGAGTACTGATCCCATAATTTAGTAGTAGTAGTAATAATAATAATAATAATAATAATAATAATAATAATAATAATAATAATAATAATAATAATAATAATAATAATAATAATAATAATAATAATAATAATAATAATAATAATAATAATAATAATAATAATAATAATAATAATAATAATAATAATAATAATAATAATAATAATAGCAAATTAACAGTATGTTTGTTCTGAGCCCACAATGTAGTAAATAAATAAATGATGATGACTGAATATTGGCAAATCAACGATATATTTGCAGGGTACTGAACCCACAAACAATAAATAAATAAATAAATAGATGACCAAATATTGGCAAATTAATATGTTTGTAGTGTACTGAACCCACAATTTATAAATACTTTTTTTTCTGAATTGCATTTATTGCAAAATTGGCAAAACAGTATATTTGTAGTATATTACTTGTATTACTCCTGTAGTGCTAGGTCTATAACTGGATAACTGGATGTTCCCTTCCGAGGGAACTTCGAACTGCGTCCTCTAGAGGTCACTATGGGGAATGCCTTCAGTGTGACCGGTGTCTGAAGCATACATCTAAATACGACAATAGCATTGGCCGGCGACAGCCTATGACATCATTACCCAGCGTGATCACAGTATAAAAGGGCGCCGGGAGAACACGTCATCCTCTTCTTCGTCTTCACTGACCGTTTGTTTATGTTAGCGATAAGCTAAGCACGACTAGGAGTGCATGTTCTCTTGCCAGAGGCTTTGCTCTGATACCCGCAGTTTCACAACGGCTCACGTGTTGTGTGTGTGTGGTGAAGTGCATGCGCGTTCAGCTCTCGAGGGAGTTGAATGTGCTCTGCATTCACAGCTTCTTTCTTGTGAGGGATAAGCATGAATTGAACGCGGCTTGGACCATTAGGGCATTCGCAGGACTACTGAGGAGAAGGTGAGTACTTCACCATTTACCAGAGTTTGTTTAGCGTTTGCATGAGTGCGTTCGCCAGCGGTTTCCGTTCTCGCTTGATTTCCGAGGTAATCTAGCGCGTGGGTGAAGTGTGTTTAGCTCCCGCGGGAGCTGAATGCATGCTGTGTGTTGCTGTTGCGGTGAGAATTGTCTGGCCATTGCCCGTGATTCGCGTCACCCGTCAGTACTGGATCCAGACTGCATGATTGCCCTGCATCTTCAGCTTCATGCTTACTGGACCACGCAGCCAAGTCGCTGGGCCTCTGCGAGAGCCTCCTTAGCCGATCAGGTCCGCAGTATAACGCTGCCATTCAGGTTGAGCATTTTTCGGAGTATAATGCTTCGTGATGTGCTCCCTGATGTCCTGGCTGGGTGTTTGCTTTGAGAAGCTGCCCCGGCCAAGACATGCTACTCATGTCTTGCCCCGAGGGGTCTCCTGAGATTTGAGTCATCCTCTCAACCATTATGCACGTTCTCTGAACTAGAGCTCCTCTCGCTGAGGCGTTGAGAGGCCTAACACTCTTTAGGTCCACTCTGCAGTTCGATAGACGGTCAGGTCCACGGGACCTCCCTGTCACACTGCCCTTATGGTCGAACCAGTGAATCACCCCCCTGCAGAGTGGGCTTGAGTACACTGCATTCCCTGAGGTATGAGTGAGATGTATTTCTGCGGAAACCGTTCCTCTGAGGAGCAGTAGCTCTTTATGCATGAATGGGTCATTGGGTCCTGTAGTTTCTACAAGTTCTCTTCTGGTCTGGTTAAATGGGACCCATGCTCTTTATCGAGATAGAGAGCATAAGATTGTGTTCAGCTGCATCAGTTGATGGTCTCTCATTGGGCCCTGCTAGACTGCCCCTTCTAATCTAGCGCTGTCTTCTGGTCGAGTTGAGGAATGCTCCCTTCACTGCGAGGGTTAGCTATGAGCCTATCGTTCCCAGTTTGTGCTTTGAGGGCCAGTCTCAGCTTGAGAGCAGAGAGCGCTGCTCCCGAGAACTCCATATGCAACAATACTGAGTTGTTTGGCCCATCCCTGTCGCCTCCTTGGTCAGTTGCCTCTATGCTGGGACCCTGTTGTTCCCTGTTGAAATGTGCGACCCTTTTTTAAGCTGGATCCCATTTCTGATGTCCCATTTGCAATCAATCTGCTCCCCGGACATGGCCGTGCTCCCCTCACTGTGGGAGGATATTTTATGAGCTCGCCGGTCCTGGGTAGATTATGTGAGTCCTTCTCTCTACTTGAGAGCTAGGTACTTTGCCCCTGGGCTATTGATCGCTTCGGTCGAGCTGGGTTCCTCTCTCTTAGTTAAGGGTCGAGCCCTCCACTCTTTGAGCTCTGTGACAGCGACATCAGATAGTTTGGCCGCTTGCTGCCTCCCTGATTGGTTTCCCCTATTTGGTCAAGCATAGCAGTGCTCCCCTCACCTGAGAGGTTTAAGCATTCTGTGCACTTTCTAAAATCCTGTATGGTAAGGGTTACGCACTGTCAGCCTCGTTCCCTTTCTCTGAGTTGGTCTAGGCCCCGGTTTTCACCTTGGGCTCCACTCAACTTATGTATCCCTGTTGATAAATTTTTGAGCAGGGTGTTGCTACCAAAGATCTGTCGAGCCAGTTTTTTGACCAAGCTCATTCAGAGCAGGCAGTAGCCCCCTGGGTGACAGGCCAGGGTCTGGTTTGTTTTTTTAGACACCTGGCTGTATCCCCTCAAAGGAATCTCTTTCGTCTGATTCCAAGCCTTTGAGCTCTGCCCTAGGCTCGGGCTTCCCAACCCAGCCCTTATCAGGTAAGTTGTTTATGGTATGCAGCTCAGGATCTTAGCCGGAGGGTATAATGTCACTGACAGCCGTCAAGGCATCCTAGGGGCAACTCCCAAGGCCATGGTAGAGTTGGTATTTAGTGCTCGCCATGGTTTCTGGCATGCACTCCCCTCAGCATGGCGGCGTGGGTATAGCGTTCCCCATAGCGACCTCTAGAGGATGCAGTTCAAAGTTCCCTCGGAAGGGAACGTCTCAGGTTACGTATGTAACCATGGTTCCCTGAGAAGGGAATGAGACAATGCGTCCTCTAGTTCCCTTGCCATGATTCGGACGGAAACTTCAGATGAAGAAGCCGATGACGTGTAATGACGTCATAGGCTGTCGCCGGCCAATGTTATTGTCGTGTTCAGATGTATGCTTCAGACACCGGTCACGCTGAAGGCGTTCCCCATAGTGACCTCTAGAGGATGCAATGTCTCATTTCCTTCTCAGGGAACCATGGTTACATAAGCAACCTGAGACATTTTTATGGATAGGAGAAAGTGATTGGAAACAGATGTAGGGTGCAATGTAGCATGCAAATGTTGCAATCCAGATTCAAACTTGCATTGTCTGAAGGAGTACCAAAGCCCAATGTAACCGCTAAGCCATGTGTCTGCCAATTATCGATCAAGTTTTTTTGTGTCTTCTTCCCAAAACATTAGCATTCTAATCGAGCACGTCTTTATTCTGAATTTCAAACAATCAATAGAAAAAAAATAGATCTAAAATGCAATTTTAAGTGAAGCCGTGATACTGCAGGAAAACAAGAGAGACTTCTTAATCACAGTGTATCATAAAAGCTCATGTATTGCAACACAAAAAGAAGCATTGCAATAGCATCATGTGGTGGGATCCCTGGCATTTTGACTGATTTCCTAGCATTGCAGTGAGAAGTTGAAGGAAAGTGACATCCATCGCACCGGAGCGTGTGAAGTACGAGAGGAAAGTTCTTGAGCTGATCTTCCAATGCTCTGCAAGCATGCGGTTACATGGTTTTTAAGAGACTAAAAATCACAACAAAAGGAGAACTGAAAGTCAGAACGGAAGAGACTTTAAATGAAAGAGCATGACGCAATATATTTGCACCAGTGAGCAAGAATAACTAGAAATAAAAAGATGTGACTAAACACCCCATGAAACTGGACTGTTGTGGCTTTCAATCCGTGTCTATTAGATTTGATTCTAAACTATATGTTAAAATTAATTTCTGCAAATAAACTGTACAGTCTTTCTAATTTTTCAAGTGATCTTGACGGCTGTCTGTCTGATTCTGTCCAGTTTTTAACGTAATTGGTTGCGTAACATGCACATTCGACAACTGTGTAGGCTGTAATGTGGGCTGATCTCTGACCCAGATGAATGAACATGCTAAATGAAGTGCTATTCGAGTGAGGAATCAGTGCTTTGAGAGAGCTGCGAACAAACGTCCAGGACAAAAACAAACTATACAGTGACCCTACAAAGTATTTAGACACTTAAGCCACATTCAATGCATCAAATATCATGCATTACATAACAAAACCTCAACCCAAGTGGCATTTACTTTAATGAAAGACAGCACAAGCACACATTTACACCTCTACATTTCCACTTCAAATCAATGGATCGATTCCAGGCGTCCTGAGAGTTAAACGCTTCTGATTTTTAACATACCTGTATGACAGGGCTCCTGCAAAGTGGCTTTCAATGTAGGTGTCCATGACTGGTTTAAAATGCTGAAACTTGCTGTCCTGGAGCAAGTTTATAATGTGCACCTGATTGACGAAAGTGCACACGCACAGTAAGCAACATGCAATTTCATTGGCCTCTATTGTGTAAAAAAATGAGGGTCTGTACTTACCAGACAATCAAACACCTTGAGTGCATATCTTTGTGAACTCTCATCCAAAATGCCAAAAAGTGTGTCCAGTGTATCTTGTAAAAACTGATTAGAGATATTTGACTTTATTAGTAAATATGCACCAATTAGGAAGAAAGATCACTGTGATTGACAGGTTCATTAACCAACAGCAAGGCTGTGAAGGGCAGCTGACCTTAACTATTTCTGAGCCATCGATCTCTTTGAGTTTAGACAGGCTGTCACTGATTCTCTCCGGATGGGCTCTCCACTTCAGTAAGTCCAGCATGTCACCTGCAGGAAACAGCCAATAAGCAATCAGTGTGTGAAACTTCATGCCAGATACCCAAATGTTCCCATGTTTTGTGATGCATCATGTCAAGAAAACTTCCAACTAGGGACGTTTTGTCCTATCATATCCTGTACAAAGAGACACACACATTACCGTTCTGAGTGAGTTTGGTAGAACAGAGGAATGATGTGATCCATAGGGATTCCTTAGTGCCTTTCATAGTTTGGTTGTTGCCGGGCAGATTTGATTTCGAGAAGGGCAGTTTGAGGTAGCGAGCACAGTCTTGCAGGTTAGCGTTCTCCTCACACTGGAAAACATGCATGAAAAAGATCCTGACAACTGTTTTATCGTATTTCTTAATATATGCAATTTAATAATTAACACATCATAACACAACCAAACAAACAAATATATATAGAAAAATGGGGGCAAAAACAAATGTTGAGTTTATAAATTTGTTCAGTATATGATGTTTTTTGTTTATATTTATAAACAAATTATAAATCTACACATTTATACATGTATAAACATACAGACCTATATAGTCATATGTACAGTATGTAGCATATGGTATATAATTTAATTATAGATATAAACAAAAAAATTAATTGTAAAATTCATAAATACATTCATTTAAAATAATTATATAACTAAATATTAAATAATATTTTAAATACATAAATTATCAGAAATGTATATGGAAAATTCTTATTTTACTATTTAGCAGTGTCATTTATTGACTTTCCATTATTACGCAATATAATCTAAAAATAAATAAATAAATAAATAATATAAAAACATGACTATTTTTTGTTTATATTTATAATTAAATTATATACATGTTTATAAGTTAAGGTAACCCCAACCATATGCTACATAATGTACAAATATAGGTCTATATGTTTATACATGTATAAATGTGTGTAGGTTTATTATTTATTTATGAATATAAACAAAAAAAAACATATCAATATCATATTGTTAGGCTTACCCTAACCCTTAAATATATAAACAAATATTGAAACAAAAATGTCCACAGCTAAATAGTAAAATCAGAATTATTTTCCATATACATTTCTGATAATTTATTTCTTTAAAATATTATGATCTAATATTTAGATTTATAATTATTTTAAACTAATGTATTTATGAATTTTGTAAAATCTTAATTTTTTTTACATAATGGGTTACTAAATGTACTTAATGTACATTTAATTAAATATACAGTATAGACATATACTGTATGTACGTATAAGCTTCCTCTAGGGGCAAAAAATGTATATATAATAATTTTATTTATTTATTTTTCAAGGAAACCTTTAACATTTTGCAAAACTTATTTTGTGTTCGACAGAAAGCACAAAGTCATATGGGATTGTAACGAAGGTAAGTACAATGATGACATTAGTTTTATTTTTGGCTGAACCATTGCTTTAATTAGCATCATGCAATCGCTCCACATTCAGTCAGCAGTTCTGTTGCCTCCAGCAGAAATGCAAACAGCTGACTTTTCTTTTTCTATCATTTATCTTGCTCAAACTGCTACACGTACTGTAAGAGGTCAGCAGAATTGCTGTCGTACATGACCAGTGACACAGCTCAGTGCAATATTACAGGATTCAGTGATCTCTAGTGTTACGTCGAGACATGTGTGTAAACGCTGGAGCAAACCGGCCTATTTCAGAGGGAGTAAATAGGCCACGAGAAGCTCACAGCATCATACTGGGCCTGTTTATGGGCTAAGCCTCCCTGAGGCTACACACATTGATCCATATACACAAAAGTTATTTTATAGGTTGTACATTGTTAGATTTAAATGGGACATACGTTAGACTGTTTTTAATTGCAATTTTTTTAATAAAAGGCTACATGTACATGACTAAGCTGTTCGCAAATCATCAGAACATTATTACAGTCTTTTATTTGTTTAGCAAAAGATTCTTTAATGAACTAATGTACAAATGGAGTGTGAGGGGTGACGGTACAACATGACACGAATAACAGCAGCTCTCTGTGTCTGTGCATGTATGCTGAATCAAAATTTAACAACAAATTGGGAGAGCAGAGATTGGCTTGTCAGTAATATAATAAATTATATAAATATATGTGTTTTATTTATTTTTTTATTATACATTTTTGAATAAAAAGTCAAAAACACACACACTTATAATTGCATAATTAAAATATAAAAATAAAAAATTTATTATATATACACACACATACACACACAGTGGTGGCCAAAATTATTAGAACACTAGTATTTTCCCCAGCTACAAATGGTTTTAAGTCAGTTATTTCTATCTTTTGCTGTAGTGTGTCAGTAGGAAATACCAATTTACATTTCCAAACATTCATTTTGCCATTAATTGTAATAATCCAGTGAGACTTTTGCTTGCACAAGGAGTCTGACACCAGCCATTGCTCTTCACAGAGATATGATTTCATCATCATCCAGTCTGTCTGGAATAACATGAAGAAACAGAACAAACTGAGACAGAAGAACTGTGGCAACATCTAAGATGCTTCAAGAAACCTACCTGCAAAGCTACAGTACTGTTAAAAGTTTTAGGCACTTTTTAGGCACAAAATTATTATTTATTTTGGTCAGGTGACAAGGCTACTTTCACTTTGAAAAGACGTGCTAGCTGAGAGGAGTTTCGTCAAAGCTGACTAAAAGTGATCGAGGATGGATAATTTTGACGAACTTGATGAACCTGTGATATCTTCTTCAGGGCGAAAAGGAAAATAAAAGCTGAAACGTTTTCACGGAACCTTGTAAAAGCAGCGCGGTACAATGGTGAGGGAAAAACTCTGTGTATTGCGTGTAATCACATCATCACATCCAATGATCACAAAAACAACAACGTTTGTCAGGCATCTACATTGTCATCTGAGGAGATTAAAAAGATTAAACGATTAAACGTTTTTAACTCTAAAACATGAAATGTGGAGTTATCTGCTTTTGCCAAAAAACGACTGTTGGAGTTATCTGCTTTTGCTATAAAACAAACTTTTAATATGTAAAAAAACATACTTTCAATTAACTTTAATTTTGTAAATTACCTGTATTTGTTTAAGTTATTATTACTTAATCAAAACACCCCAACTGCAGTTTGATTGATATTACTTGGAATGCGGAATAAAAAAATAAGTTCATCGGTTTTTGCAAATGAACTCTTCATATGTAAATGTCATCTACATGCACGTGTGCTCAACTGTTTGACAAAACAACATTTTAGCACATTTAATGCATTTAAATAGTACATTCTCTTCAAGGAAAATTGAACACAAGTTTTGATGACTCATCTTGTTCATAGGGGCATGTGCAATTTTTGTCCAATCAAATGCTCTGTAGAATGAGAATGCCCCTCCCCTTCATTACCATCTTTCTATTGGTAGCATTTAGCGGTTAGAATATCATATAGCATAGCATATCTATGGCAGGATCCATTATCATGTCAGAAAGATCATATTTATGAGTTGAACGCACTACAAAATTGTAATTACAAGTAGGAAACTGGGTTTCCGAGTTGGGGGCGTGTCCATAAAACATGTCACACATAATGGATACAGCATCTGTATTTATGGAACATTTGTTGAAATTAATAGAATTGTTTTTTTTATTTTTTTTTATTTTACGATCACAATCTTGCTTCCAACAAAAGTGGTTTGATGGCTGTTGTTGTAATCACGACTTCCCAACTCGTAAATACGAACTTACCCAGAAGAACTTGAACCGACTAGACCTTTTGATATGTACCACCTCAACGTATAATTGGCAGTGTTTGTGTGAACTCGAATGCCGTGTGATTTTGTGTTTATATTTGCAGCCCGGCCACAAAGCCAGCTCTGTGACTTGTTCTCAGTGTGGAGCTAGCAGCCATCCTTATGCTAATTACTGTGGTGGCTGTGGTGTCTTCCTGGACGGCCCACCCAGGACGCCCTCACATGTAAACCAGGGACAGGATGCACAGGAAGCTGATCAGGTACAGTACACGGCCTGTTTGGTGCTCATTAAAAGCGTGCAGTATTATATCGTCCTCATCGCTCTCTCTCATATAGTCTTCAGCCACCTGGCAAGCAGTTCCTGCACCTGAATCAACAACTGTGCCGCCAGCTGCAGGTTTGCGCATGTGCGCAGATGCCCAGACGCAGACGGTGGGTCTGTTTTTCCCGTCCAGCTCTGAGCTGAAAAAACAGAGCCAACAGAGGGAGGCGGAGCTTAGCAGGCAGGAGCAGATGAGTGACAGGAAGCCCCTCCTCACTGCCGTTAGTCCAGGCCGAGGTAGACTACTGTATAAGTCTACTAAATAAGTATGACTTCTATAGCATATGTTTATGTGGTGTGTGTATGATTCAGGATACTGGAGGAAGCAGCTGGATCACATTTGCGCTCATCTGCGCAGTTACACTCAGAATAATACTGAGTTCAGAGCTCTGATAGGAGAACCTCGGCTGGGCAGAGTAAGACCACTTTCCAGACCACTAAAAATTATAATTATAAATATTTTTATATTGTTATATATTATATCATATATTATTATTTATTATTGTTGTTGTTATTATTATATACTTTTATTTAGAATCCATTATTATTATTAATTTATTGATTTACTTTTACTATTATTGTTATTTTATTACATACTTTTGTTTTATTCCTGTATTATCATTTTTAAATTATTTTATTAGTTTACTATTATTGTTTTTATTATATACATTTACTTTCATTCCATTATTATTATTATTATTATTATTATTAATTTATTTTACTGTTATTGTTATTTTTATTATATACTTTTTATATTAACCATTTTAAATAATAATTAGTTTACTATTATCATTTAATGAAATAATTTACAAGAGTAATCAAAATACTTATTAATAATAATATTACCATTCATTTATTTATCTTACTACTTTAATTGATACATTTATTGTTTATTTATTAACAGTAAATGATCAAAGTCAATTTTAAAATTATTTTATTAATTTACTATTATTGTTTTTATTATATAAATTTACTTTCATTCCATTATTATTATTATTATTAATTTATTTTACTATTATTTTTATTTTTAATTATATACTTTTTTTATCTGTATTATTATTATTAACATTTTGTGTTTGTCAATCTGCTCTCTAGATGATATCTGCTGTCATTCAGGAGGATAGCTATGAAGTCAGTCTGCGCATCAACTTCATCTCTGCCTCGCCGGAGGGATCCAGGGTCAGAAACACTCCTTAGAGCTTTTATTTTGAGTCTAAAGAGAGCAGGGTTGCCAGGTTTTCACAACAAAACCCGCCCAATTGCTACTCAAAACTAGCCCAATCTATTTGGGGGGTTCCACCGATGCAAATCGCATTCTGGGGGG